CACGCCCACCCACCACACCCACACTCACTGCAGGACGTTTTCCGGGCTGTCCATGGCGAGAGGACACGCCGGCCCCGGCCCCGCCAGCGCCGCGAGTGAGGAGCCGCCGCGAATTCGAATCTCCAGCGCAGCCGCAGTAGCAATGACGAGCGTTAGGCAGGCTCCTGGCCATTGGCCTCTGCTGCAGTCGGACTGGCCAACCGCCGGAGCCGTTGCCAGGAGACCAAGTCCCGCCTCACCGTGATGAACATTTGCCAGGCGCCTGGCCATTGGCCTCGGCTGCAGTCGGGTTGGCCAATCGCCGGGGCCGTTGCGGCCGCAGCTCCTCCCACTTCCCGCGGCCGTAGACGAACCAGAAGCTCGCGACTGGCTGAGGGGATTGCGGCGCGGCGGGGTTCTCTAAGTTGGCTCCGGCGTGGGGAGTGGATCTTTTTCACAGCCCTTCAAGTTGCACCTGGCTTCCCCAGGGATCATCCCAGGGAAGGCACAGTGGGAGATGAATACCTAACCTGACACCTCTTTCCGTCCCCGCCAAGCGAAAAAGTGGGACCTTGGTCCCTAATCCCCAAAGTGGTGCCTTTTCGACTCCTCTCAAATAGATGAACCAGAATCACCATGGAAAGAAGAAAAATAATGCCTTTGTGGGTACAGACCGTGGCGTCGTTTGAGGCCGCGGAGCCTGGGGTATAGGAGATGGGCAGGTGGGGTGAACCCAGCACCCGCAAGACCATGCACCTCACTTCCCGCGGCTTTCTGTTCAGTGTCTTCCGCTGTAAGAGGAGAAAGGAGACGCTAACGCCCTGAAGTTTCGTCCCACAGCCTGTAATGCAGTGGCGAGGGTTAGGGCTGTTCATCAATGACCCAGGAAAAAACCCTCGCGGTTGTTGGCTTAGTGACTAGAGCGCGAGGGCAGGTGGGTGGGCGCTCAGGGTTGGCCGTACCCAGCATAGGTGCCCTTGGAGACATCTGGCCTTGATTGAAGGGATCTGATTGAACTGCTCTGAAAAGCTGCGTGCATGTCCTAGAATGCCAGCTATCAACATCTTTTGTGGACCTAGGAGCTCTGGAGACCAAGTTGTCAGGAATTCTAAAATTAAAAAAAATAAATAAATAGAGACCTCTTTATAAAGGAGGCCAGGTGTCCAAGAAGTATGTAATCTGCTGATGCTTCCTGCCTAAGAGTGAGTAGAAAGCGTCAGCCTAGCGCTCTGGGCCTTTGGTCTTTCATAATTTCCCATTTTACCTCTCAAGAGTGTTTCTTCAAGAGCCACTTGACAGTGCAAGTGAAATATAAAGGGCTAGTCATGGGATTATTCCTTCTAGAGAGGCTGTTTGGATTGTTTGCTCTTTTATGGTTCTTAAGTTAAATACCTAAAAATAATAGTAATTAGCAGCTTCTAGAAACACTGATGGTCTCAGAATTTTAAGTTAAATACCTAAAAATAATAGTAATTAATTAGCAGCTTCTAGAAACACTGATGGTCTCAGAATCCACAATTTCTCCCAGGGTGTGGATCAATTGGATCTACACAAATACCTTATTTGTGTGGTTTATTATTCAGAGGGTACTCACTCTTTATATAATTCCTGTGATGGCTAGCAGGAATTAATATATTTTTAGTCCCATCAGCTCAAGATTTCAACTTGTCATCAATTAGGAAATGTTGATTGAACATCCATCATGTACTAGGTGCTATTGGATTTATACCTAATTAACTCAGACAGATTCTGTCCTTATGAGATTAGTGGTTTCGTCTGGGAGATGAAGATACAGTTACAGGAAATTGTATAAAGGTGTTATATACTGAGTGGCCAGATTATTATGACCACCTGACGTTTGTAGGCAAATTAGCTATAATTTCCCACTGAAGTTGCTAGAGGGCCAGATCATTATAAATGTCTGAATAGCACAACATACCTAAGTATCGTTGCTGATCAAGTTCATCCTATCATGTTGATGGCGTATCCCAATGGAGATGGCTTCTTCCAACAAGACAATGCGCCATGCCACGGTGCTCGTATTGTGCAGGAGTGGTTTCAAGAACATGAGGGAGACTTTACCTTGCTTAGGTGGCCCCCACAAGCACCAGATCCCAATCCAATTGAGCATTTGTGGGACGAAGTTAAAAGAGCCATCAGGCAGCTGGTTCCACAACCATCAAATCTCACAGAACTGGACAGTGCTATTCATCAGGCATGGTGTCAGATTCCTCGCATCACCTTTCAACATCTCATGGAGTCAATGCCAAGAAAAATCGCCTCAGTATTGAAGGCAAAAGGTGGCCCAACGAAGTACTGATGGGGTGCTCATAATAATCTGGCCGGTCATAATAATCTGGCCACTCAGTGTATATGTGTGTATTAAGTGCTAAATGAGTGAGTATTCAGACTATCCGCTAGAAGTGTCAAGAGGAGAGTGGGAAAATGGGGCCTGTTGGTCAGATAAAGCTTCATGAGGAAGGGGGGTGTTGAATTGGGCCCTGAGGTGGGGATGGATGTGGGTGGGGAGAGCTTGGGGGAGGTCATTCCTGGTATATAAGAGGTTACTGAGGGAGATCACCCTTGACTCTTGTTAATGAACAATTGAGATTCTTTTTGTTTTTGTGTGTTTTGTTTTGTTTTTTGGTGTTTTATTTCACTATTTTATTTTTCATTTTTAAATATATTTTTATTGTTAATAGTGTTACAGATATCTCCCATTCCCCCCCTCCTCCCAGCCTCTACCCCCTCTTCTTAGTCCCTATTCCCCTTCCCCAGATCTTCACTACTCTATTGCCTATGTCCATGGGCTATGCATATTAAGTATACTAGAGGCCCGGTGCATGAATTCATGCACCAGTGGGCTCCCTCGGCCTGGCCTGTGGGATCGGGCTAAAACCAGCTCTCTGACATCCCCCGAGGGGTCCCGGATTGCGAGAGGGTGCAGGCCAGACCAAGGGACCCC